AATCAGTTCTAATATTGGTATGTCTGCTCAAGCTCAGGGTCCCGTTCCCAGCTTGGAGTGCAGACATACTCAGTGAAACCAACCACCTCAGATTGGTGCATCTGTTACTGTAGCTGCTGCATGTTGTGCACTTCTGGGTTATGGCACTCTGAGATAGAATGGGTGTCTGGCTGGTGAGTCTTGCCCACATGCTCAGGGTTTAGCTGATCGCCATATTTGGGGTCAGGAAGGAATTTTCCTCCAGGGTAGATTGGCAGAGGTCCTGGAGGTTTTTCGCCTTCCTCTGTAGCATGGGGTACAGATCACAGCTGGAGGATTCTCTGCATCTTGGGGTCTTCAAAGTATTTGAAGGCTTCAGTATCTGAGATATAGGTGAGAGGATTATTCTGGGAGGGGTGGGTGAGATTCTGTGGCCTGCACTGTGCAGGGGGTCAGACTAGATGATCACAATGGTCCCTTCTGACCTTAAAGTCTATGAGATGTGTTGGGTCCCGTCCAGGCAGCTATCCTCATCCTTGCCAGGCAGGATCTTTCCTACAGCACATTCTCCAGTGCTTTATCCAATCAAAATGGAACAGCAGCAACGTATCCCTTAGAAGGCGGCAGGGCAGGTGCTCTTCGTGCTGATCTAATGAGGCTGTGCCCCATAGCTTGTGGTGGCAGAGCTTTGTGTGGTGGGCGGAAGAAAAATAGATGGGGTATCATTACTCTTTCACAGAACTTTTCCACCCTTTGTGCTTTTCAGAGGAGGAGATCAGCAGAGGATGAGCTTGCAATGAGGGACTATCTACAGGAAGGGGATCTTATCAGTGTATCCTTTCTTTGTTACCTGTTAGGCAGGAGATGCCTGTGGGTGTTGGGTGCATAGGCAGATGCCAGCAGATTAACACTCTGTGTTCATCAGAAAATGAGCCTTCCTTCTTCATATATTTGGCCTGATCCAAGAGTTCTCTCCACCACCACCGATTGCAATAGGTGGGACAGGGTTTTATACTCTCCTTCAGGGCTGCCAAGTTCTGTCTGACTTAAGGTCCCATTTTGCCTATAAAATAGGTGTATGATGGTCAGGGGCACTGGGCAGCCTCTTCATGAGGCTCACACCCTGTTCCGGGATGCTTGTTTGAAGAAGGCATCTGTCTTAGAATGGCTACCAGAGAGAAACAGCACGTACCCACCATCCCTGAAGGCAGAGATCATCTGCTGACCATTGTGGGAGACACTCAAACTTAGACTCCATATTTGTCTTTTGTGGCAGTCTCCCAGGCTGGTCTTACTCCTGGTCTGGATGCTGTTCCCTAAATCCTTCACCTGCAGTTTGCTTCTTCTGCACATTTGCCCTCCCTTCCCACTTTCTAGGGACTAATTGTTGGTGTACGAGCCAGGGGATGGACCTACGCTTGAGGGCTCGTGTTGTCTTAAGGGCAGAGATGCCGCTTTCTGACTCCATAGCCTGTATTGTACAGTCCTCTGTGAGGCCAAAAGAAAAGTTTGAGCTTTGAGCCCCTAATCTGGCCTAAAATGACAAGGAAAGTACCATCAGATGGCACTGCTGGGAATTGGTGGAGAGTTATGTGGTAAAGGGAAACTCCACATGAACATTTCATGTGTGGTTGCCCAGTGGAAGCAATGGGAGGTGGGGGAATGAAGGTTGGCCGGAGGCAGATGTCTCTTTTCCTCAAGCAGCCCTACCAGGCAGAAGTCCAGGCTGTATTTTCTGATGGGGCTGTGTCACTGCATACACGGAGCCTGAAATATGGGAAGGTGAGTTACCAAGCAGACTGCTGCTTTTTCTTGTCACCGCAATTTGTTTGGCTGTACACCAGTGTAAGTGAGAGCAGAGATGGCTCTCAAAGTGTTCTAGATAAGAACAGGATAATGTCATTAAACTATGTCTGCAGGCTGGGAAGATGAAGGGACCTGGGCCCAAAGTGAAACAAAATGCAGAGTCCCCTGGTGTGAAATGAATCTTGTCAATATGGCTTGTGACCGTCCCTAGCAGCAGTTAGTGTGAACTAAGGATGTTAATTTTCAGTCAGTTTACTAGTTGAATAGTAGATGGAATTTCCATCGACTAATCAATAGGCACTTCTGCATTCCTCTTTGAAATGTACAAGAGCCCCTGCTGGGGCTCTTGTACATTACAAAGGAGAAACGCGGTACAGCCCGAGGGCTAGCTGGAAGTCCTGCTGACTCCAGGCTGTACACAAGCGTGACAGCTTTGAAATGTACAAGAGTCCCCAGTCCATGTTGTGCTGCTGATTTGAAATGCCATGCGGAGCCCGGGGTCAGCTGGGGACTCCAGAACCTGGGGTCAGTTGCGGAGTTCCCAGCTGACCCTGGGTTCCAGGCGGTGCTGCTGATCCTGGGTTCAGCTGGGAGCGCTGCCCCTTTGAAGTACCCTCTCTTCCCCCCCTTTGCTGCCTCCATCTAGAGGCAGCAAGATGGGGGGGAATCGACTAGTTGACTGACTATCCGATATGCTTCTGCTTATCGGATAGTTGACTAGTCTTTAACATACTTAGTGTGATCCCCCTGCTGGATATTGGACCCATGGGGAAAAAACACTCTCAGCTGAAACTTTTCAACAGCACTTCTTGTCCTAAGCTGCCTCTGACTTTTCCTTTTCTCTGTTGCCTTTCGGGAGGGTTGGATGGCATGTCGGAATGATCAAGAACTTTCTCTCACTGAATGTTTCTATAGCACTCTGTCCTCAAAGCGCTGTTTGGGAATTAGTTCAATCTCCCATTAGGCTGTAGGCTGGCAGGGTTGATATCCCCATTTCCCAGATGGAGACAGTCAAGCACCAGGCTGTATTTGGTTGGCTATTAGACAGGGCTGCTGGGTGGAGGGAGGAGTAAAAGAGGCAGCAATTTAAGAGGGGTGAGGGCTCCTGGCTGCTACTACCTCAACAGCAGCAGTGGACAGAGCCCCGGGCCCTTTTAAATCACCAGTGGAGCCTGCGCTTTATAGGCGCCGACCTTTCTTGGGGCCCTGAAGCCAGCTCCCCCTGGGGCACATTGTCAACCCTGCTCCCAAGCCACCAGTGGAATTGGTGTCGGTGGTCAGGCTGCACCCATCTCACATTGTGTCATGCTCTTCAGCTTGGCCAGGGTGTGCTGGTTCAGGTCTCCCCCTCCCTTGTGAAACGCCAGAAGACTCATTTCCATGATCTGCCCTGTGGCGCCTCCGTGATTCTTGGCAACAATGGCTTCATCTGGATCTACCCAACGCCTGAGCAGAAGGATGAAGAGGCAGGGGGCTTTGTCACCAATCTGGAGGTGAGGAGCCAGCATTTCAAAGGTGTTTGGGGTGGTTAGTTGCTCCTCAAAAGGCCACCTTCTCAAGCTGTGTATCAGTAGCCTGGCACCAAGAAACAGGACCCTGGGTAAAGCAGGTGAAGCGCTTACCTAGGGGCTTGCAAACATGTGAATGAAATGTCACAGCAGCATCCCCCTCCTGTTCACGATTGCGGCATGTCCTGGGGGACACGGCAGCAGTTCCTTAAGTGGAACACGCGAAGGAAATATTTATATCTGTAGCTGTCTGCTAGTGTGAATTGGAAGTTGGAAACAAGGAAGGGAGCCAGCACCATGGGAGCAGGCAAGGCTCCAGGAACCGCCGTTAGACCACAGCTGGCTCAATAATCTCCTCCCCGCCTGTGATTTGTTCACATATCTAATGCACTGTGCACTGCAAGGTGATTTCCTTGCCCTTTTGACCAGTAAACCACATGCATCCTAGCTAAAACAATGACTGTTCCATTAGTACTGCCTATGTGGGCTGAATGGGCTTGTGTGTGGTGATTGCCAGGGACTTTTCCTTGCACAGAGACAGCTGCGTAGCTTCATGGTGGGGGGTGGAGGAATCTTCAGACAAAGAATTGTCTGTTTGGACATCTAGGCTTCTTTTATAGTGGAGCATGTCATGGGCAGTAGAGTAGTTCTTTACCATAACTGATAGACCACATTCCTTCCCTGGCAGTGTGGAAAGAACCTAAGATTCCTGGCTTCCGGTCCTTGCTCTAATGACTATTATCCCCTGCCTCCTTAGACACTTGAATTCACTTTCTGGGACAAGTTATATGACATAGATGATACAAGTTACTGGATGTAGTTTTAGGCTTGGAGTGTGAAGCTTTCGTTGTCATAGATCTCTAGTGGTCCCCTGCAAATTCATCCCTTTCTTTTTCACATTCGGTCTCTTTTCCTTTTTGTCCTTGTTGCCCCCCTAGCCAGTCCCCTTACATGACCGGGAGGTAATCTCACGTCTCCGGAACTGCATCCTGGCTCTGGTTGCTCAGAAACTGATGCTCTACGATACCAGCATTGTGTACTGCTATGAGGCCTCCCTTCCCCATCAGGTATTGGGTCCAGTTGCTGCTTTCTTCACTCCCTTTCTTCACTTGCACAGACCACACATTTTATGGCAAAGGCAGTAGGCTAGTGCATGCCTTCATTTCCTGGGATGCAAGATCTTTGTCGGAAATCACAACATGATGTCTCCTGTCATGAACCAAATGGCTGTGGACGGATTGGGATGGGGATGGGTTGACGATTCCTGCATCTGGTAAGATTTATCATGAACTCCATAGAGACAGTTACCTCCTTCACTAGCAATGGCAAAGTTTTCTTTCCTGAGTGAAAGAGAAGCCCCTTCCTGTTTGATCCCTAGGTTTGGAATTGCACCAGGGTAGGGTGGGGTGAGGCGGAGGAGACAGCCCTGTCTCTCATACAATGGATGAAAAGCCCAGAGTTTTGTTTTTTCTCTCCCATATTCATATCTCCTTCCAATATTGGAAGGTTGCTGGCTTTAGACTTTCTGTAGCTGGATGTGGTGCAGTCAACACCCCATGATTTGTTAATGATTTTCATGCCACATGCTATCACAACAATCTAATCAGCAAGCCTTTGTTGTTCTCCTGCCCTCCCTGAACAGACAAGAGACTTACCATGTCTCTTGCTTTCACGTCTGATGTCAGCCTCCCACCCCCAATAGGACATGCAGTCACGCTCCACTTCCAATACAATCCTCCCTCTTAAGTAATGAAGCATGTGGTGTCTCTGCCCTCAACTCCTCAGTAGGTATCTGACAAACCAGGCAAGACTCGCTGAGTTCCCTTCTTGTGCCCTTGAGTAAGTTGGCTGTCAGGACTTGGAGCATGTGTCATGATTGTTGCCAGTAGTCTACCTGGGCTACAGCCCCAGTGTTTCCATTAACATCTGTCTAAATGTCATTGCCCTTTGCACCTGGCATGTCCCTGTCCACTTCATTTGCAGGGGTTGCAACTGCAAACATTGCTCTTCTCCTTATCACTGCAGATCAAAGACATTCTCAAACCAGAGGTGATGCAGGAGATTGTGCTGGAGACTCGGCAGAGGCTGTTGGAACTGGAAGGATGAGGGAAGGAGCATTGACTCCCCAACTTTGTGCATTGCCCATATCCTCCAAACGTCATTCCAGAGCTCCCTTGTCCTGACTCCCCTTGTCTCACTTCCAGGATTCCTTCTGGCTTGTAGGGCGATGTAAACCCCTCAGCCTGCAGAATGGAGAAATGTGACAAGTGGCTGCTATTGGGATGTCGCTCGCTAGATTATTTGCCCTGGTGGGGAATTGCCTCTCAAGTATCCCTAATATGGTCCACAGTGTTAGAGGACAGAAGAAACAGGGTATTTTGTTTTGCCTTATGGTCCTTTCCTCTCCTCCAGAAGTATCACATAGCCAGGCCTAGCAGTGTTTGATCTTGACAGTGATGGGAGCTCTACTAATATGTCCTTTATTCAAGAGATGCATTTTCCCCTGAAGACCCACATAGCAGCTACAGATCTGCAAAGGACAGGATTCATTGCAGAGCCTGTGAATGGATATGTCAGCATGCTTCGTGGATCGCTCTGCCACCTTCCAAACACACACTGGAATTGAATGTTCAGTACTTGCATTTTCTGTGCTTACAATAGAGTGCACAGAATGGTACAAAAACCCACTGGTGACCGGTGGCCATCTCACTGCATATTGAGTGCTCATAGGACGCCTGTCTTGATCTTCTGAGTCCGGAGCAAAATGTATTTTTCCATCCCATGCACAGAAGGGATGATCCCAACATTTTATTTTGTAGGTCTGATACTTTGAGCTTCAGCTGTTGTTTCCCACTAGATTTATTTTTTTTAAAAATCAATAAAGAATTCTTTTGTCAGAGAATCTGTGAGTTGTTTGTAGGAGCTTGTCTCTCACTGTGATGTATGGGTCACGCTAACTATCCAGTCTCAATTCAAGTCCTCCCTGTACACAAGGACGTCAGTGGCCACAATCCATCCTGCTGGGTCCCATTTCCATCCTGCCTGTGCAGAAATGGCTGCAGCATCCCTTGCTAAGGTGTTGTTGACTGCCTTTCCCTCTCCTCCAACCCAGTCTCCATCATGAATTTCCCTCCAGCCACCTCTGGGGCCCTGCCCTTTGCCCTGAGTGCTGTTTGCATGCTCAGCATGGCATTGCGTGCAGTGATTCATACACAGTTGCCGCTTCCTTGAAAGTTCCCTGGGGGAATTAGGTGAGGTCAGCCTGTCCATGCTGTCCCAAGAGAGGTGACGGAGATGGCAGGAGCCTGTCATGCCTTAAAGGTGGGTCCCCTCTGGAATTCACAAGAGAGTGTGATGTGAAGGGTTAGAGTAGGGATGTAATAATGTAGTCGATTAACTGATAAGCAAAAGCTTATAGATTAATGCTATACACTACACGCATCCCCACCAAAGTAAATTTTTTAGCAGGCTGACCAGCAACTTGGCTCAGTCCTGGCTAGCGACAGGTCCAGGACCTACCCCTGCTGCGGCTCTGCATTAAAAGTGTATTAAGAGCTAGGCTGGCAGGCAGCCCGGCTCAGTTTCAGCTCGCGCCAGGTCTGGGAGCACAAACCCCTCTTCCCCCAGATCGGGGCTGCTGCCACCTGTGTTGCTGCCTCTGTATCGGAGGCAGCAGCATGGGGCAGTAGGCAGCCAGGTACAGAGGCAGCAGCAAGGAGTGGCAAGGAGCTCCTTGGAAGTGGGGCCAGAGGCACTGGCTACCGGCCCTGCTCCTGGGTACTATAGAGTAGTCAAGTAACCGATAAGAATTCATGAGGTTACTCGACTATTCAATTAACCGATATTTAACATCCTTAGATTAGAGCTGGTTTCTCTGAGTCAAGACTCTTGTTCTGGTTCCTGCTTGGCCACTGTCTGTGTCTCAGTTTTCTCCATCTGTAAAGTGGGGATGATGCCTGCTGTTTCAAAGGGGGGTCAGAGACTGAATTAACTGCCTTGAAAAAGTGCTTGGAAATACTTGTCAGTCCTTGTGACCTTTGTACAAGCACAGGGCTGGCTGCGATGGGTCCAGTGCAATGTGAAAAGCCATTGCTAGAATCAAGACACTTGCCCTGTTTGTCGTTTAATATCTGACAGTGAAAATCATCTGTCAAATCCTTTTCTGCAGGAGCCTTTGCTCCAAGACTTTCTATGGGCAATAAGCCCCTCAGTTTTCTTTCCCTCTTGTGTGGCATCCCCTGCAGTTGCTTGTGTCTGAGCACTAGATGGCAGCTTCCACTCAAGTTTGCAGATTACAGCCTGCTGCACTAAACTTCCTCTTGCATTTTCCTGCTCATACCTGTTAAACGAGTATGTTGCATGTTCAGTGTAATGCACTCCATGCTGCAAAGCCCGGGAGCCTTCAGTGACCAGACTTGTTATTTGCATAGGAGCTTTGAAGGCATTTCCTACTAAACTTGACAACACATCTTCAAGCTGGGAGGGAATATCTGTAGATGACACTAAAATAGCAAATAGGTCTGCAGCACAGGTTACCTCAGGGGTGGACAATAATTTTTGCCTGGGGGCCACTTCAAAGCCACCCTGGAAGGGGCGGGGCCTAAAGGGGAAGGGTTGGGATACCCCACCTCCAGACCATGATTGGTGGGGGAGTCCCTTTACCCCCCACTTCCCACTAGGTACCCATGCCCTGAAAGAGGCTAGGCGCACACCCCTACGCCAATCGGTCTGGGGGCGGGGGGACATGCAAAGCCTCCTCCCACCTTGCAAGGAACACATGGCACTTTGAAGTGCCACGGGCTTCTTGCAGGGCTGGGGCAGAGCAGCGGAAGCTTCACACGGCTCCCCCATTCCCAGGCCCTGATTGGCTTGGCGGTGGGGGAGCATGCGAAGCCTCCTCTGCTCTCCCCCCCTGCCCTGTAAGCCGTGTGCGGTGCTTCAAAGCGCCATGTGCTCCTGGCAGGGCGGGAGGAGGCTTTGCGCGCTCCCCTGCCCCCAGATCCTAATTGGCCTGGGGGCAGGAGAGCAGCAGGGCCTCCGTGGGCCGGATCCACCTGCTTGGTGGGCCGGATTTGGCCCATGAAGGCCCTTTTGCCCACCCCTGGGTTACCTCCTGCAGCCTGTGAATGATGCAAGCACCTCTGCCATTCAAGTATTCATGGAGGAAAACACTGAAGAAGACTTAACCAGAGGGGTGTCCTTACACTGTTAGCCTGTGCTTGCTAGAGCTGGTTAGAAACATTTATTTTCCTTGTGAGAGAGCTGATTATATTTTTTTACCTGGGTCACTGACAGTCAAGCATTTGTTTGCTGCTGTGGATTTTTTTTGCAGAGCTTTAATATGTAGCTTTCAAATGCCATGGGGTGTGGAGCAATATAATTAGCAAGACAGTATTCAGCAATGGTTCCTGCTTTCCAAGCTTGTTGATTCAGCAAAAGGTGGCCAGGTGAATTACCCACATTCTACCCTGTATCCTTCTCTGACCTCTCCGCTTTTAAACCACTTTCAGTGCCTTAACCTGGTTTAAAAGTGGGCTGAGGGGTGAAATTACTGCTCTTCTCTGCCTCCCAGGGGGGCTTGGTCAGCTGCCATCCAGCAATAGCTTGATTTGAAAGTCGAATGTAAAAATATTGCCATATTTCTGTACCTCTGGCAGCATCACACTACAACCCATAATGGTTCTCAGAGGGAGGGGGTTTGGAGATGGGTTAAACCTTATTGAAAGTGGTTTAGCTAATGTGGTTTGAAGGCTGTGTGAGAAATCAATTTCCAAATGAGATTAGTGCCAGTTGAGACTGAGTTGCTTGGCTTGGCTTGAGAACCCAGGACCATTTTTCCTCCCAGCTCTCTTCTGTAACCATGGGACAACCTCTTGTCACCAGCAGGCTCAGGTTCAGGAATGAAGGAAACAAGGAGTGTGTGGGGTGTCTTGAGTGGATCTCTTATCAAAATGGCCAATTTTTAGGCTCTGTTTTTAGAGGAAGAAGAAAAGGTGCAATGGTCTTTGCCTGTATGGTGCTTCTGCTATAAGAGGACCTTCCATGCCCCAGTTTGTCTTTCATAAGCCCCGACTTCCTCTCACACTCATATTTAGGTCACACCTACAGAGGCGTAGTGAAGGGGCTGCAGGGGGGGGCAATTGCCCCCGGGCACCATGCTAGGGGGACACCAGGCCGAGGTGAGAGCAAGTGCACGCTGCTCAGGCTCACAGGGACGCCAGGCCGGGGTGAGAGCAAGTGCACGCTGCTCAGGCTCACCTGGCATGGGCGGCAAGTTTATGGCCATCCCCCTGGCCCTGGGCCATCACTGCCATGCACAGCATTCAGTTGGCTTCTCCTTGCCCGTGCACGCTGCGTACAGCAGGGACAGTCCGGAGCCGGGAGGGATGGCCATAGAACTCGCCGCCCATGCCAGCATTGTCAGCTGCCCCTTGCCTGCGCATGCTGTGAAGCGTTTCCAGGTGACCGGGGAGACGCCCGGGCGTGACGTGACATCACGGTCTGGGACTTTAAAAGTGCTTGGTGCCGCGTGGTGCCAGCCTAGCTTCTGGTTTGGAGTCCGGGGACTTTTGGGGCCTGAGTGCAGACTCCAGGCCCACAAAGTGGAAGACAGAAGGTATGGTATGGTACGGTATGGCAGGGGGGGGGGGGAAAGAGGGGGGAG